GCTGAAAAGATGTTAGCAAAAAGTGGCAAGTCTAATGATCACTTTATGGATGCTGTAGTGTTGTTCCTATCCGACGCCTAGATATTGAGCTAGGTCGGGGCAAGAAATTGTCATTTTTTTTCATAATGCTAACGACCCTGTTAAAAATCCTGTTAAAAAATCTGGAATGTGGTTCTCGGTAACGGCCGGACGGCTCATGACGAGAGGCGGGGGGTGTGTTGTGTACCTCCAGTCTAGTTGATTTGCAAATGTTCATCAACATTGGTGTCATATTGGCTTAGATATGATGGTAGGGAGATTTTAATTTAACATTGAGTTTCAACCAATACATATACTACGATAGCCCCCACAGTAATACAGTACATTACCAGTCAGTTATACTTGGACCTGTCTTTCTAGTCCAGAGGAGGAAGGAGGGCAGAGGCTGATCAGAGTGACAGAGACAGGGACATCATCAAACAGAGATGTAATATGTCCCTGTCTCTGTCACTCTGATCAGCCTCTGCCCTCCTTCCTCCTCTGGACTAGAAAGACAGGTCCAAGGAGCAGGATCAGAGCAGTATGTATAACTGACTGGTAATGTACTGTATTACTGTGAACATAGGTAAGTTAAACACACCTGAAACAACCTGTTCAAGCTCCTCCATGGCACCACTTCATAAACACACATCTCAGTTACAGCTGACAGAAGAGCACTTATACATTTCACAGATATCACTGACTTGTCACGTACAGCCCACTGTATGTCAGTTAATGAATTGGAGCAAGGAAAAAAAAAACATCTGACTGATAGTCTTTCAGATTAACAAGACTATTATATTAAACAGTGCCAAGCAGCATACTTTACACAAACATTTAGTTCTGTGTAAAACAACATTGCTCTCTTTGAAAAATGTAACAGTAAATTCAGTGGCCATAGCATGATTTTATTTGGCACCTCATCTATAGATGTATGTGTCTGGGAAGTATTACATCATGTAGCTATGCTGCCTAGCTAACTGAATCTAATAATGTTTATTTTCTTTTCTTTTTGCAGACGCTCTTATCCAGAGCAACTTACAGTTTAGTGAGTGCATACATTATTTGTATTTTTTTTTTAAATCATACTGGCCCCCCGTGGGAATCGAACCCACAACCCTGGCGTTGCAAATGCTACATCCCTGCCGGCCATTCCCTCCCCTACCCTGGGCCAATTGTGCGCCGTCCCATGGGTCTCCCGGTTGCGGCCGGCTATGACAGAGCCTGGATTCGAACCAGGATCTCTAGTGGCACAGCTAGCACTGCGATGCAGTGCCTTAGACCACTGCGCCACTCAGGAGATAAATGAATGGTCCATCCTTCTCATCCTGCAGTGAGTGATAGGAAAGAGAGAGTTTATGAACCGAAACAACAATAGAGTGGTGAATGGAGCAAAATCCTTTCGCTCGCGCTCTCTCTCTCTCTCAATTACATAAATGCAACCCTCAAAATAATGTTGACCTTGACAGGGGAATCAAAGCCCTGAGTCATGACCATGGCAGGGTTAATTTAGCTCATGAGGAAAAATGGGTTAGAGGATCCTTCAGCTGTTTTTGATGTTATACAAGAGGCCTGTCAACACTTTTCTCAGGTCTGAGAAAAAAACCCGGAGACAGTCAGAGTGAAATCTGAGCCCTGAGAAAAAGTTGTGGAGAATTTACTGAGTAGGAACTCTGAGTATACGCCAGGGATTCTCTATAGTACTGCCAATCACACTATGTTGTATTGGCCTGACTGGTCCTGAAAGTGTGTATCTTGAGATTGTACTGTATGTATGCGTGTGTGTGCATACATCCATGTGTATGTGCTCGAGCTTGAGTGTGTGCCTGTGTGGATGCTACTGTACATTAACTGCATCTGTCGGCCTCTAATTCTGTCCTTGTTCATAGCCTTTCGACACACCCCCATAACGAAGATAAGCCCTGCCAGGCTGAGGGAAGTCTGTGGTGAAGTGGCCTGATGTGGGAAGGTTTCTGAGGTAAATGTTAAGGTGGTGAAAGGTAGGCAGGCGAGAGGCTCTGAGATCAGTCCTTTAGGAGTCAGAGGTTTGTGTGGACCAGGACATTGTGCTACTGGGTCACAATGTGGTGAGAGATCTCAGAGGAACACAGGAAATGTGCCTAGTCAACAACATGAGGAGCAACAGTGGACAGTGTTGACCTGGTGGTCTGACCTCAACAAAAGTTATAGTTGAGAGCTCAAATGTTCAGGTTATCCGCATAAATACCCTACATGTAGGCCTACATATCTGCCTCAGCACCCCAATTGTGATTGAAGTTGCTCCCTTCCCTTGATCTAGTCATGTGGAACAGCTCTATCTAGTGGTAAATTAGCTAATGTCATTAAATCATAGAGTGAACATCTAGAGTTGAACTCTGTATTTATACCAGAGTTGTGGACTTGAGTCACACGACTTGGACTGGAGTCTGACTCCAGTCACAAATTTGATGACTTGAGACTGGACTTGATAGAAACTAAAATAACTTGATACTTGATTTGGACTTGGAGCCTCAAGACTCGGGACTTTGAATTTATTTGCCAGGTTCTGTAATGTTTTATCTCTCATTTTGTTGCACAGAGTCTACGTGGATTACTCTACAGGCAGCCAGAGACAGTAGCAACAGCATCGCCCTTGCAAAGAAATCTGAAACAGATTGGCTAGTGAAATGCACACTCTGAACTCTGATTGGACCAATAAACTGTCAATCAACACAGGTCAGGTGGTAAACTAGTGAACAGATTGCCGATTTGCTGTACCGATATAGGATCGGGTGCAGTGCAAACGTCAAATTATAGGAAGAGAGGATTGCCATAATAAATAAATATGCAGCGCCAATAATACTTTGCAAGCTCATCGGCAATGGGGCAACAATTATTAGCATAGGTCTACTGGTATTTTGGTATGTAACAACTGCTTGAAATTGATAATTTACTTATGCATTTGGAATTTGTTTAAAATGAATTATTACTGTGGCAAAGATGCACCTGCGCTCTACAAAGCTTTTTTTTATTGTGCACATGAACATTCACAAGACTCATGAGGTAAAAGTTATGTTTATTTAATTCAATGTATGCTTTCCGTTGTTCCAGTGGAGGCTCCTCAGAGGAGGAAGGGGAGGACCATCCTCCTCAGTGAATAATTTATTGCCACTGGGGCCAGCCGGTGTAACTGCTAAACGGCTTGCTGCTGACTGTACACTGTACTGATTGTAGCGGGTTCAAATGCGTTAGTTCTAGTAGCTATGTTGACAACGATGTAGGATGATGTAAGCTGTGTGTAGCGGTTAGTGGTTATGATATGAAGGTTTGGCTTGGAAAGGTTTTTTCGCCTGGTCACAGAAAGCTGATATGTTGTGCACTGAAGTCCACAAGCGACGGGAAAAGGTGAGAGGAGGAGAGCGCATAGATGCGAGAAGGAATACAACGATCATTCATACTGTTTGTATGTGGCTGCTATGAAAGTGAACTGTGTTTGCGTGTGATCAGGGGTGTATTCATTCCGCCGATTCTGTTAAACAGAAGCAAACGGAACGAAACAGAGATAAACTTACCTGAATTTGTCCAATAGAAACTCTTGTTTGCAACTTTTGGACTAATGATTACACCCTAGATCAGCTACATGCAGGCAAGCGTGTGCAAGGCGGTATTGAATGTGTCAATGTCTGTCACCTTAATTACTCAAATTTCTCTCAACTTACGTTGTAAACTTTCATTCATAGGCTAAATTGTAGCAAGCAACCTCATGATGGGCATATGGAACATTTGAGTATCATGTAGTAGCTTAAACCTATAGATGTTAAATTGAGCTGGGTGAATGGAATATTAATGTCAGTCATCCAATATGCTGTAATTGAAATACGGCCATGCTCCCTCATCTTAAAAGGCACCGACTTCACGTTACGTCGGAGTTCCGTGTGTTTGTTGCCACTTTCAAAACAACTGGGAACTCTAAAAAATACGAAATCAAATCATGATGTCAGTGATCTTCAGGTCAGAAAGTCGGATCTTTAGAAAGAGGCCTGAGTTCCCGATTTGGAATTCCGAGTGGGATGACCGTTCCAAACGATTTTTCCCAGTCGGAGCTCGTTTTTTCAGAGTTCCCAGTTGTTTTGAGGGCACTGAAGTCGGAAATTTCCGAATTCCCAGTTCCGAGTTGTTTTGAACCCGGCATTTGTCCTATGTTTCTGTCATTCTGGTTGTGCATAATAGGAGTTTGCCATATATCACACCGACTCGGGCCTTATTAATGAAATATATCGCGCTTTCACCATTGCATCACCAAGACCTGTAAATAAATCTACACTCTGAGCACTTCAACCTGCCTTGCCTTCTGCTGATTTCATGCCCTTACAACTGCCACAAGGTCCCTATTTTACAATTACATAGGCAAATCAAAATGTGTTGTATACAAAATAATTAAAAGGGCTGTCTGGTAGCCTCAATAAATAGACAAAGATTTGTTGTTGAACAAGTCATTGCATGTATAGATTTTTTATTTTACTTGACTTGAGACGACTTGAAAACTTGTGACTGGACACTACTTGCCCTTAGAATGCACGACTTGGACTTGACTTGAGTCTTGACCAGTTCTACTTGGGACTGGACTTGAGACTCGGACCTTGTCACTTGAGACTTGCTTGTGACTCAAGTAATAGTGACATGGTCCCACCTCAGATTTATACTGTATTTTTATAAAACATTTGTGAATTCCAGTGGGATCAAATATTCTGGTCCACATATAGTTACAACCTTATCAATAGGCTAATAAATTACATTGACCAAATTGACCATAAAATCATTTCACACTTGCATAATGTTATTAAAATTGTATTATCCATCACCGCTGTGTAGTGTGCTCTGCCGTAGCAACATTGATAGAAGTGAGATTTCTCATCATGCGTTTTATTTCCTGTAACCTGTCTGCGACCCCACTGTTAGCAACTGCACGTGTCGTGAAGAACATAATCAAAGGATCTGCCGCTATGTCTGAAAAAACTGAGGTTGATTTAACCGGAGCTAAGCAAAACACCGGTGTATGGCTAGTAAAGGTATGTTGCCTAAAATCTATTTGAACGGTAAGTCATATCAATACACATATTGGGCACACCTGTCGGAATAGAATAGCTTAGCATTTAGCTAGCTAAACTACCACCTCCGGTCTCTTTTTAACTGTTGTTTGACTTGATCAGGTTCCCAAGTACCTGGCCCAGCAGTGGGCCAAAGCACCAGGAAAAGGAGAAATTGGAAAGCTCAAGATTGTAAAGTAAGCACTGACCTTAAGTTATAACTCCACATCTGTTCATTACTGAAACATATGACTTCTTTTCAGAGGGGTTCAACATTACCAAACATAGACATTTTGACTTTTGCAGTGGACATCATGCTCAATTTTGTAGTTGGTGATGCTAGTTATAAATGGTCCTAAATTCAGGAATTAGCTGTCTAATGAGACAATTAGTGTAGCCTATGTTGTAGTTTCCTGAAAGTAAATTAATTTCCCCCCATAGGATACAAGGAAAAGCAGATGTAAGTATGTTACTTGTTGCCACATGGTGTCACTGTAAACCCATACACTGTACCTCGTCCTCAATAATACCTCAAACCTTTGGAAGAATTCTACAAAATAGTAGCTGTATTATTAGAACATAATTTTCATTATTGGAAGTCATGTTTATAGATTCATAGACTATGATTAGTTGAATCAGATGTTTTACTGCTTGGTTGGAACAAAAGCCTGCATCCATGCTGAGATGTTAGCTGATCCATAGGTCTGTGGTGTTTGCCTTAGGTGTTGTTCACACTGAATGAGGACCTGACCAGCCTGTCTGCCATGGGGGAGAAGGCAGCGTCGGTACGAGCCCCCAGGGACCACCCATTCACCATGCATAGTGTGGGGGGGCAGACCCTGGCTGTGTTCACTGAGACCTCTGCAGGTAACAGACTACTGCCATGCTCTAATACTGGTAAAACACCATGGAGATATGTTTCATTTTGAGTTGACGGAATATGGTGCCTTTGAGTTGATTAATCATAAATATTCAAGAGATGAGATTAATCAGATTAGATTTGGGTGGTCATGCTCAAGCAATGGAGAGATTCATCATCAAGACTTCTCACTTGGCTTATTTCAGTTGACTTGTCTTGAAAAGCTGTAGCTGAAATGTTGACAAACTGATTTTATACTCTCCTGATTTTGCCTTGCTCTATTGTATACAGTTATTATGATTACTCTAATACACTGATTAACTCATTTTTTACCCCTTAAAAAAAAAGAACTTTAATCATCAAATTGATTTACCCAACGTTACTTTAAACAGCCTACTGTAGAGACACAGGAGAGGAGTGCTCTTTGATCATTGGATAAAATACCATAGAACAAAAATAAGTTGATTTAAGATCACTTCATTAGTCAAACCGAAATTTGACTAACGCTTTTAACCCCTCAGAAAGACACAGATACATATACAGGTTTTTGTAGTGGTGCAGGGGGCTGCCACACTGAGTGCCAAGGGAGCTGTTGTTGTGGGGGGTTAATTGCCTTGCTCAAGGGCATAACAGCAGGCAGTGGTATACAGTATTTGAAATCAGCAACCCTTCCGCCTGCCAGCTCACTTCTCATTGAGGGAATTGACGTAGTTGTGAATTCTAACAATTCATTTTCTGATCCAGAGAGCACTTAAATGATGTTATCAATGTATCTGCCATACCATACAATAAAAAAAGGGTTAGGGATGGATTGAAATTTACAGAATGGTTACCTGAAGGAAAATGGGTTTAGTATTTTTTTTATCTAGTCCAGAGGAGGGTCATGTAATTGATGAAATGTAAATATTTCTCAGTGTTTTAGAATGAGTTGCTTATTAGGCTATATATGGATGTGTGCCCGATGTCACCCCTCATCTCTGATTCTCCGCTGGGCGCGCAATATCAAGTGCGCCTATAAGCTATTTAGTGTGGTCTCAATCAAATGATTCATAGCCTATAGGCTATAGCCTACGAAGTGCATGCTCGGAGAAGGATAGATCAAAGTTATATTTCTAAGATAGCTGCTGGGATGATGTAAATAAAACTAGGCTGCATTACACACTGCAATGGATATTCCAACTCTGAGCCCTGGCTTGTTCTGCTCTTGTTGATCAAAAACTTGTTTGTGTGCTGCCTAACCAATGGCTGTGCTACAGTATCTCACAAAAGTGAGTACACCCCTCACATTTTTGTAAATATTTGAGTATATCTTTTCATGTGACAACACTGAAGAAATTACACTTTGCTACAATGTATAACAGTGTAAATTTTCTGTCCCCTCAAAATAACTCAACACACAGCCATTAATGTCTAAACCGCTGGCAATAAAAGTGAGTACACCCCTAAGTGAAAATGCCAAATTGGGCCCAATTAGCCATTTTCCCTCCCCGGTGTCATGTGACTCGTTAGTGTTACAAGGTCTCAGGTGTGAATGGGGAGCAGGGGTGTTACATTTGGTGTCATCGCTTTCACACTCCCTCATACTGGTCACTGGAAGTTCAACATGGCACCTCATGGCAAAGAACTCTCAGAGGATCAGAATTTTTTTTTTGTTGCTCTACATAAAGATGGCCTGGGCTATAAGAAGATTGCCAAGACCCTGAAACTGAGCTGCAGCGGTTTAACAGGACAGGTTCCACTCAGAACAGGCCTCGCCATGGTCGACCAAAGAAGTTGAGTGCACGTGCTCAGCGTCATATCCAGCGTATGAGTGCTGCCAGCATTGCTGCAGAGGTTGAAGGGGTGGGGGGTCAGCCTGTCAGTGCTCAGACCATACGCCGCACACTGCATCAAATTGGTCTCTTCTCTTTAGAAGCCTCTTCTAAAGATGATGCACAAGAAAGCCCACAAACAGTTTGCTGAAGACAAGCAGACTAAGGACATGGATTACTGGAACCATGTCCTGTGGTCTGATGAGACCAAGATAAACGTATTTGGTTCAGATGGTGTCAAGCGTGTGTGGCGGCAACCAGGTGAGTAGTACAAAGACAAGTGTGTCTTGCCTACAGTCAAGCATGGTGGTGGGAGTGTCATGGTCTGGGGCTGCATGAGTGCTGCCGGCACTGGGGAGCTACAGTTAATTGAGGGAACCATGAATGCCAACATTTACTGTGACATACTGAAGCAGAGCATGATCCCCTCCCTTCGGAGACTGGGCCGCAGGGCAGTATTCCAACATGATAACGACCCCAAACACACCTCCAAGACGACCACTGCCTTGCTAAAGAAGCTGAGGGTAAAGGTGATGGACTGGCCAAGCATGTCTCCAGACCTAAATCCTATTGAGCATCCTCAAACGGAAGGTGGAGGAGTGCAAGGTCTCTAACATCCACCAGCTCCGTGATGTCGTCATGGAGGAGTGGAAGAGGACTCCAGTGGCAACCTGTGAAGCTCTGGTGAACTCCATGACCAAGAGGGTTAAGGCAGTGCTGGAAAATGATGGTGGCCACACAAAATATTGACACTTTGGGCCCAATTTGGACATTTTCACTTAGGGGTGTACTCACTTTTGTTGCCAGCGGTTTAGACATTAATGGCTGTGTGTTGAGTTATTTTGAGGGGACAGCAAATTTACACTGTTATACAAGCTGTACACTCACTACTTTACATTGTAGCAAAGTGTCATTTCAGTGTTGTCACATGAAAAGATATACTCAAATATTTACAAAAATGTGAGGGGTGTACTCACTTTTGTGAGATACTGTATGTAGGCCTATGGTGGCAGTTCAGGAGGAGAGTGAAAGGTTTCTTCTGAAAAGCCTATGTTCTGTTCAGTTTGAGAAGGAGAGCGCGAAGATGAGGTCATCTTTGATAGCCTGCTACAACAATAATTGATTTTATTAAAAACAATATGTTTCTTGCCTATGATGTATTTATCAGAGTTATTGACCTCACAATAAGCCAGATTCGTGTAACTTACATTGTGGTGCTGAAACTTGAAGCAGCAGCCGTGGCACAATCAATCGAAAATGGGACAGCTCATGGTACTGAAAGTAGGCTAATTCGAGTAGGCATAATTCATTTCAACCGTCTTCATTTTAATTAGACTTTACTAACAACAAGTGGGCTTTGTGTTGCAGCCGATTTCTTCCTATTTAAGAAATGAGGTAGGCCTACCTGTTTGACAGACTAAATTAGGCTATAGGCTGCTATATCCATAGATTTGTCAGTCAATTCCTCCACCCACCTTGCACTTTTTAAATAGCCTACCTCTGTGTCAGGCTGTTAAGTTAAAACCAAGATTCGAATTGAGGGGGTATGCGAGGGTAGGCCATAGGTCTACCTTTTATTAAAGAAAATGGCAAAAAGCACAGGCCTACCCCTTGTTAGCATAAGAGTTTGAAGAAAATGAATCTGATCCGATTATACAGTGGGGAAAAAAAGTATTTAGTCAGCCACCAATTGTGCAAGTTCTCCCACTTAAAAAGATGAGAGGCCTGTAATTTTCATCATAGGTACACGTCAACTATGACAGACAAAATGAGAAAAAAAAATCCAGAAAATCACATTGTAGGATTTTTAATGAATTTATTTGCAAATTATGGTGGAAAATAAGTATTTGGTCAATAACAAAAGTTTCTCAATACTTTGTTATATACCCTTTGTTGGCAATGACACAGGTCAAACGTTTTCCTCTAAGTCTTCACAAGGTTTTCACACACTGTTGCTGGTATTTTGGCCCATTCCTCCATGCAGATCTCCTCTAGAGCAGTGATGTTTTTGGTGCTGTCGCTGGGCAACACGGACTTTCAACTCCCTCCAAAGATTTTCTATGGGGTTGAGATCTGGAGACTGGCTAGGCCACTCCAGGACCTTGAAATGCTTCTTACGAAGCCACTCCTTCATTGCCCGGGCGGTGTGTTTGGGATCATTGTCATGCTGAAAGACCCAGCCACGTTTCATCTTCAATGCCCTTGCTGATGGAAGTAGGTTTTCACTCAAAATCTCACGATACATGGCCCCATTCATTCTTTCCTTTACACGGATCAGTCGTCCTGGCCCCTTTGCAGAAAAACAGCCCCAAAGCATGATGTTTCCACCCCCATGCTTCACAGTAGGTATGGTGTCCTTTGGATGCAACTCAGCATTCTTTGTCCTCCAAACACGACGAGTTGAGTTTTTACTAAAAAGTTATATTTTGGTTTCATCTGACCATATGACATTCTCCCAATCCTCTTCTGGATCATCCAAATGGACTCTAGCAAACTTCAGACGGGCCTGGACATGTACTGGCTTAAGCAGGGGGACACGTCTGGCACTGCAGGATTTGAGTCCCTGGCGGCGTAGTGTGTTACTGATGGTAGGCTTTGTTACTTTGGTCCCAGCTCTCTGCAGGTCATTCACTAGGTCCCCCCGTGTGGTTCTGGGATTTTTGCTCACCGTTCTTGTGATCATTTTGACCCCACGGGGTGAGATCTTGCGTGGAGCCCCAGATCAAGGGAGATTATCAGTGGTCTTAAATGTCTTCCATTTCCTAATAATTGCTCCCACAGTTGATTTCAGTTGGTAACGAGTGGAGGACAGAGGAGCCTCTTAAAGAAGACGTTACAGGTCTGTGAGAGCCAGAAATCTTGCTTGTTTGTAGGTGACCAAATACTTATTTTCCACCATAATTTGCAAATAAATTCATTACAAATCCTACAATGTGATTTTCTGGATTTTTTTCCCTCAATTTGTCTGTCATAGTTGACGTGTACCTATGATGAAAATTACAGGCCTCTCTCATCTTTTTAAGTGGGAGAACTTGCACAATTGGTGGCTGACTAAATACTTTTTCCCCCCACTGTATAAAGTGATCTATAACAGTGCTTTGGTCCGCAATGCTTTATGCTAGAAATAAGCTGTAAAATACCTGGGAAAGACGTGACTTCGATGCTTATGGGAAATCATTGTTTAGTTTCTTTGACATTGAGGCTGAGCTACAACCTTCTATAGCAGAGGAGACAACATTTTTCTTTGCTTGGGAAGTAATCTAATTCTGTCACTATCAATTGATTAAGCTATTCACTTTCTGTACAAAAGAAGATGTTTAAACCCAGACAGCTTTTAGGGGAACACTTGTGACCTTCTCTCGTTGGGTTAAGCCACGGAAGAAGAGTAGCCAGCAGTTAAAGCTTAACGTTTTCTGTGTCGGTAGGCCTACTCTGTCTGGGGTGGAAAGGTAGGTCCAACTTTTGAAAGTACCATGCTCAGATTCCTAATAACGTCTCAGATTTAATTATTTGCAAACAGGGACAGTTTCGTTGCAAACAAGACTGATTTGGTATTGGAGAAATATGATAATAATAATAATATGCCATTTAGCAGACGCTTTTATCCAAAGCGACTAACAGTCATGTGCGCATACATTTTTACGTACGGGTGGTCCCGGGGATCGAACCCACTACCCTGGCGTTACAAGCGCCATGCTCTAACAATTGAGCTACAGAGGACTACTATAAGATAAACACATTGTCCATTCTTAGCCTGTAAATCAGTAATGTGTGTGATACTAAAACGTTTCTTCCAAGTGCAGTCGCAAAAACCATCAAGCGCTATGATGAAACTGGCTCTCATGAGGACCACCACAGGAAAGGAAGACCCAGAGTTACCTCTGCTGCAGAGGATAAGTTCATTAGAGTTAACTGCACCTCAGATTGCAGCCCAAATAAATGCTTCACAGAGTTCAAGTTACAGACATATCTCAACATCAACTGTTCAGAGGAGACTGCGTGAATCAGGCCTTCATGGTCGATTTACTGCGAAGAAACCACTACTATAGGACACCAATAAGAAGAAGAGACTTGCTTGGGCCAAGAAACACGAGCAATGGACATTAGACCGGTGGATATCTGTCCTTTGGTCTGATGAGTCCAAATGTGAGATTTTTGGTTCCAACCGCCGTGTCTTTGTGAGACGCAGAGTAGGTGAACAGATGATCTCCGCATTTGTGGTTCCCACCGTGAAGCATGGAGAAGGAGGTGTGATGGTGTGGGGGTGCTTTGCTGGTGACACTGTCTGTGATTTATTTAGAATTCAAGGCACACTTAACCAGCATGGCTACCACAGCATTCTGCAGCGATACGCCATCCCATCTGGTTTGGGCTTAGTGGGACTATCATTTGTTTTTCAACAGGACAATGACCCAACACACCACCAGGCTGTGTAAGGCTATTTGACCAAGAAGGAGAGTGATGGGAGTGCTACATCAGATGACCTGGCCTCCACAATCACCAGACCTCAACCAAATTGAGATGGTTTGGGATGAGTTGGACCGCAGAGTGAAGGAAAAGCAGCCTACAAGTGCTCAGCATATGTGGGAACTCCTTCAAGACTGTTGGAAAAGCATTCCAGGTGAAGCTGGTTGAGAGAATGCCAAGAGTGTGCAAAGCTATCATCAAGGCAAAGGTTGGCTACTTTGAAGAATCTAAAATATATTTAGATTTGTTTAACACTTTTTTGGTTACTACATGATTCCATATGTGTTATTTCATAGTTTTGATGTCTTCACTATTCTACAATGTAGAAAATAGTAAAAATAAAGAAAAACCTTGGAATGAGGAGTGTCTAAACCTTTGACTGGTACTGTATAATTTGCTGAAAGGAGGGCCATCCTTTTTCATTTCAGAGAAGTCTGATTTCTCCATGTAACCCTTATTATAAATAATGTTCACTCCCATAGCAGAACAGAGAATAAACTTCTCTTCCCAAAGTCCCCATAATACGTTTGCGTAGTTCGGAGCAATACAAGTCCCCATAGCAGTCTCCTTCTCTTGTTTAATTCCACTCTGTTAATTGAAGAAAGTCAGCAGTGAGCATACTTTCCTATGGCCAATGTTGGAGATAATGTTGGAGATAATGCTTTAAAGCCTCCAGACCTTCATTGTGTACAATATTGGTGAAATCGTTACCAAATAGGAAGATCCAACATCTTTAAGCTCAGATAGCTAATTAAGAGTATGAGTGGTATCTTGAAGGAAAAAGGGAAGTTTGGCACAAAAGGCTTAATGTAGAAATCAACATACTTGGAGGCTGGCTCTGATGTAGTATCATTGTTGCTGATGATGGGCCTTCCAGGAGGATTATGAGGATACTTGTGGACTTTTGGTAACATGTAGTAACAAGCTAACCTAGGGTAGGCAGGGAGAAGAAAGTCATATTCTTGCTTAGTGATCCACTTTTCATATTTGTCATGGCCCAAGATATCACTCCACTCTCATTTCATATTCTCCAATGGGCTAGAAGACAAAGGCAGGTAATAGTCAGTATTTTGAACTGTCTATAGGCTTCCTGCTCATACAGTATTTGTCCCTCTCCCATACAATAACAGCCCCTCCTTTGTCAGCACTGCGAACTGTACGAACAAATTGTGATTCTCAGAAAGCCATATAATGGTTGAATTTTCTTGTTTAGTGAGATTACACCTTATTCCTGTTCTCAAATAGTTTATCAACATCATGAGACACATTTTTTGTTAACGACAGTAATGGGATACTTTGGGATTTTGACCAGAGTCAGGTGAACTCGTGGATAAACATTTTATGTCTCTGCATGCTTGGCAAATTAAAAGAAACAGAGCGGGACCGGATCTGTTTGGGCCTATGAGACCTGCGCACAGTCCGGTTGTGTGTTCAGGAGTAGACGGATGAGCCATCTTTGTAATCGTCCTCGTCTCTAATGATTTTTTTTCCAATTTCTTACGTCTCAAAAAACAGTTTGTCAAAGTCTTCTTTCAATTTGTTCTCAAAAGGGAGTTTATGTTCCACAGAATCAATGTGGGCAGTTTATGCTTTGATCACCTCTATCTTCCTTTAAGGAATTGATATCTTTGTTTAGCCTACTGTAGCACTTAATGCCTTCTCATGTGCATACACAGTATCAGCACACCCACCCACATGTACAACCACACGCACCCACATACATGTTTTAATGATCTATTGGATGATTCTCAGAAAGAACACAGCGAGGGCACATTCATAGGTGGATATACTGTACCTGCTCTTTCCATGACAGACTGACCAGGTGAATCCAGGTGAAAGCTATGATTCCTTATACAGAGTGGTCCTCTGTAGCTCAGCTGGTAGAGCACGGCGCTTGTAACGCCAAGGTAGTGGGTTCGATCCCCGGGACCACCCATACACAAAAAAAATGTATGCACGCATGACTGTAAGTCGCTTTGGATAAAAGCGTCTGCTAAATGGCATATTATTGATGTCACCTGTTAATTCCACTTCAATCAGTGTAGATGAAGGGGAGGAGACAGGTTAAAGAAGGATTTTTAAGCCTTGTGACAACTGAGACATGGATTGTGTATGTGTGCCATTCAGAGGGTGAATGGGCAAGACAAAAGATTGAAGTGCCTTTGAACGAGGTATGGTGCTAGGTGCCAGGCGCACCGGTTTGAGTGTGTCAAGAACTGCAACACTGCTGGGTTTTTCACGCTCAACAGTTTCCCGTATGTATCAAGAATGGTCCGCCTCCCAAAGGACATCCAGCCAACTTGACACACCTGTGGGAAGCATTAGAGTCAACATGGTCCAGCATCCCTGTGGAACGCTTTCAACACCTTTTAGTCCATGCCCCGGCGAATTGAGGCTGTTCTGAGGGCAAAAGGGGTTCAATTCAATATTAGGAAGGCGTTCCTAATGTTTTGTACACTCAGTTAATATCAACACACACACACAGACACAGCGCTAATTGCTTACGTTAATGATGTCATTCCTACAGTAGCCATGTGCAGAATGTCAGTAGTAGTTGTTTCATGTAATTTTATGTCTTTAAGTGTTTTATTTTTTTCAGCGCTCTGGCATGCAGCAGGTATTGATTAAGAGGTTGCTTAGCAACAGGCTTGGCTCCAGAACCTGCCAGTGAATAGACGCCGCTGTACGTACTGTACTGTTAGCAAGCCATTCCTCCCTCTTTCACTCATCCCTCCCGCTCTCTCCCTCGCTCTCAGTCTCTCACACTCCTACGGGATGGGTTTTTCTCAGTACGTTTTTTTATTGAAATTGGTCAGGGGTGAAACTACTTCCATCTAATGTTCCGGTAGTTTCAGAAGGTACGGTGAACAACAGAGCAGCCAGGTCTGGTGAGCAGAGCACAGATATTCTCCCTGTAGAGAGAGACACAGATAATTTTTAATAACACTGTACTCTGCTATTACTGTAGACACGCAGTCAGCCAAGCCTTCTTTGACTCTGTTTGGAGATAAGCATACTGCATTACACACAGCAGAAAGAGCCCACCTGTTGTGGAGTGGATGAGTGATGCTGATATACAGTACACACACCCAGGCTGTCTTCTGAATGCTTTGAGCAAAGTTCACCGCTGTCATGTTCTTTGTGGGTTTGAGTCTGTCTTCGCTGCCTCTCTATCTCTGTGAGGCAGGATCTGATGCAGCTTGTAAGAAATATAGCAGTCTGAATCAGAGGCAGTGAGTGCGTTTGGCCGTCGGCGCGGTTACATTTTAGAGAGAATGTTAGAGGCCCCCATCTTGGCACTGTAGAGACATTTTAGAATTTTGAGCTGAGATTTAATTTTGCAGTTTTAAAGTTAATTTCCTACAATTCTACACATTTCGCCATGCAGCTGAGAGAATGTTGCAGGTTTAAAGCTAGTTTCCTGCAATTCTATGCATTTTGCCATGGATAATGCAGTGTTATTTTGCTCAAACATAATATCAAAATGAATACTGCTAAATTAATTGTTTTGGGAATTTTCTATTCTCCCTAACTGTGTAGCTTTTCTTTTGGTGATTGTTAGTTCTCAAAGATTATATTATTTAAAAAAATGTAGGTCCTTTATCTTTTCTGCATACTTTATATGTGGTTTTAGTCGTTTAAGTTTACACTTAGTGTTTTTCCATCCCGAAAATGAATTAAACCTGAAAAATCGCTTAGTCGGCCCGCCCAAGGATTACAATGGCAGAAAATCCCTGATAAAGTGATACCATTTCAAGCCCAGAGTTTCATGTATTCATTTTGGACCTGATTCATCACCATGCCTGTTGTGTACAGTAGCCTTCAGTATTCTAGGAATAGGTCTTACCTAGCTCCATTCACCAGAAGTTCTGCAGTCAACTCATTTTTATTAACTATAAAGATCAAAGAAAGCTAAACCCCCTCAGACCTGCTCTCTTCTGTCTCTCTACTGGAGCTGTCATGTGATGGTTGCCAGGCAGAGAACTGAGCTCCTGTCTGTCTGTTCTGTCCATGTCTGTAATGAGAGGAGAAGCCAAGTCCAATGTGGGAGGGATGGCAGACAGTTTCCCTGCCCTCTCCTACTGGCCATGGCTCTACTCTCCAGCTCAGCTCTAGATAGAAGACCTCATTCAATTCATCAATCAGAATAGAACAAATATGCAGTGTCTGATGGGCTGAGAGGCTGGGTGGATGTGCCGAGGTTGGTGTGAAAGCTACTAGCCCAGGTCCAGATGGACATCATCCAGCGAGCAGTGGCAGCAGCTTATTGTTCAGGCAGAAAATGTCATTCTTGCTCAGAAAGACGTTGTCGCCCTTTGCTCTGCTCTCTCACAAAGGAGGCACGTACTGCCAGGAATAATCAGCAGGAAATGTTCACACAGAGACAGTCAGCTGACTGAATAACTGCCTGCCTTCTGTTCCATTGATGGTATTTCCATACATACACTACATGACCAAGAGTATGTGGACACCTGCTCGTCGAACATCTCATTCCAAATTCATGGGCATTAATATGGAGTTTTACTTATTCTCCCTGCCCACCTTTGCTGCTGTAACAGCCTCCACTCTTCTGGGAAGGCTTTCCACTAGATGTTGGAACATTGCTGCGGGGACTTGCTTCCATTCAGCCACAAGAGCATTAGTGAGGTCGGGCACTGATGTTGGGCGATTAGGCCTGGGTCGCAGTCGGCATTCCAATTAATCCCAAAGGTGTTCGATGGGGTTGAGGTCAGGGCTCTGTGCAGGCCAGTCAAGTTCTTCCACACCGATCTCGACTACAGTGACCGGGGCAGAAATTTACGAATGACTGTTGGAAAGGTGCATCTATGACGGTGCACCGTTGAAAGTCCTGAGCTCTTCAGTAACATGTACCAGACCTCTCGTGCGCCATGCGCGCAAGTTGATTTGTCCCCCACACCAACGCGATCAGACACGCAGGTGAAATATCAAAACAAAGGTTTGTCTATGGAGTTGCATGCTGTGTGCTCGATTTATACACCTGTCAGCAACGGTGTGGCTGAATAGCCAATCCACTAATTGAAGCTGTGTCCACATACTTTTGGATTATGGTGATGTTTTACCATTCGAAAGGAAAGCACTTTGTACAGTGCATTCAGAAGTATCAGACCCCTTCCCTTTTCCACATTTGTTACGTTACAGCCTATTCTAAAATGATGAAATTATTTTTTCCTTCATCAATTAACACAATACCCCATATAACAAGCGAAACAGGTTTTTAAATTCTTTTCACATTATTAAAATAAAAACAGTACCTTATTTACATAAGTATTCAGATCCTTTTGCTATGAGACTCAAAATTGAGCTCAGGTGCATCCTGTTTCCATTGATCATCCTTGAGATGTTCTACAACTTGATTGGAGTCCACCTGTGGTAACTCAATGATTGGAATGATTTGGAAAGGCACACACTGCTATATAAGGTCCCACAGTTGACATGCATGTCAGAGCAAAACTAGCCATGAGGTCGAAGGAATGTCTGTAGAGCCCGAGATAGGATTGTGTCAAGGCCAGATCTGGGGAAGGGTACCAAACAATGTGCAGCATTGAGGTCCCAGAACCAGTGGCCTCCATCATTCTAAATGTATTAAGTTGGAACCACCAAGACTTTCCTAGAGCTGCCGCCCGGCCAAACTGAGCATCGGGGAGAAGGCCTGGTCAGGGAGGTGACCAAGAACCCGAGGTCACTCTGACAGAGCTTAGAGCTCCATGGTGGGATGGAAACCTTCCAGAAGGACAACCATCTATGCAGAACTCCACAATCAGGCTTTGGTTAGTGGCCAGACGGAAGACACTCCTCAGTAAAAGGCACATGACAGCCTGCTTGGAGCACCTAAAGGACCCAGACCATGAGAAAAAGATCTCTGGTCTGATGAACCAAGATGAACTCTTTGGCCGGAATGTCAGTACGTCTGGAGGAAACCTGGCACTCCTACGTGTGCATGTGGTGGCAGCTCATGCTGTGGGGATGTTTTTCAGCAGGGGACTGGGAGACTAGTCAGATCGGGAAAGATGAACGAGTCAGAGAGCTCCTTGATGAAAACCTGCTCAGAGACACAGGACTCAAGTGGAAGGTTCACCTTCCAACAGGACAACGACCTAAGCCAGACAACGCAGAGGTGGCTTCGGGACAAGTCTCTGAATGTCCTTGAGTGGTCAGCCAGAGCCCGGACTTCAACCCGTTCGAACATCTTGGAGAGACCTGAAAAAAGCTGTGCAGGCGCTCCCTATCCACTGACAGAGCTTGAGAGGATCTGCAGAGAAGAATGGGAGAAACTCCCCAGATACAGGTGTGCCAAGCTTGTAGCGTCATACCCAAGAAGACTTGAGGATGTAATCACTGTAAATATGACATTTCAGTTTTTTATTTTTAATACATTTGCAAAAATTTCAAAACTGTTTTTGCTTTGTCATTATGTGGTGTTTTGTGTAGATTGATGAGTGGGGAATAAAAAAAAAAAATCCATTTAGAATAGGCTGTACGTAACAAAGTGGAAAAAGTATGAGTTGAATACTTTCCGAGCACTGTTCTTCCCCCCCCCCCAACCCCCCCCCCCTCCCCCATGTGAAGAAGTCATAAGTATTTTTGATAAATCCACTTATAGTGTATCAAAGTAGTCAAAAGTGTAGTATTTGTTCCCATATTACTTTTACGCAATAACTACATTAAGCCTGTGACTCTACAGATGCATTTTCTGTTTGTTTTGGGTTATATTTTGTTCAATAGTAACTGAATGATGACTGTAGTAATTTTCTAAGTGAGTAGATAAGATGTTTCGGAACACTTATAAATTAATCCTGATAATGACGTGATTTAAAAAAAATAATGAATAAGGATGAGTGAGATGCCGTTCAAAGGCGACAACAAAACATGCTAACCTCTCACCATTACCAATAACAGGGGAAGTCAAATCAAAATTCAATCAAAGTTTATTGGTCGCCCACACAGTTTAGCAGATGTTATAGAGCAGGGGTATTCAACAAAATTTAAAAAAGGTCCAGTTAGAGAAAATGTTTTGAAGCAAAGGTCCAGAAGATCATAATGTCTAACAATTTAGTGGTATATATATTTAAGTAGCCTAGTAGTTCTGAATGTAATCAATAACTGACCGTCTAATCAAATTAATTCAGTACAATTCAAAAACTTGTTGACAATATTTATTATCACGAAACATAGAACTGAACATTAGGGTTGTCCTCGACTAAAGAAATTCTTAGTCGACTAACACTTATATGAGTTTGTCGACTAATCGATTAGTTGATTTAATCGACAGAGCTGTGCAAGACTAGAAAAGCGCAATATAAATGTAGTTAATTAACCATCTGTAAAACTGAGTTTCTCCGAAATTAATCCTGCAAAAGCACCACTTTAAATCTCGTGTTCACCAGAAATGTTCTCATAAGTTACTTGGAAATGAGTAATTAAGCATGAATAAGCATAAAAAATGACTTATCGACTAAAGAAATCTTAGTCGACTAAGACCAAAACGACCGATTAGTCGACTAATCGACTAAGAGGGGCAGCCCTACTGAACATATATGTATGACTGTAGATATGTACAATGTGCTCTCATTAATTAACTAAATAAAACTAGGGCTGCATGTCAAAATAAGAGAAAATAAATAAAATGTGAAAATTGTGCATTTTCAAAAAAAGTGCTTAACTTCAGAAAAATAATATAAAGGGAGGAAAAGTTTGAATTTCCCCTTTTCTGTTTCACATCTTGACTCAACAGTCTCAACCAATTTTACAAATAATAAATCTCAACAGATCTTAACAATTGAACAGTTTTAGAGTATCACTTTCTTCCCCTCATATCCCACTCCACCATGTTTTTTGCTCAGTGAGAGAATTGAGCTTTAGCCTGTCTTGCCAGAATTTTAAACCTGGGCTTGAATGGAGTCAGGGCCATTCTCATACACATGTGAAGGTGCTCATTGGTGAGCCTGGAATGATATTTAGTTTTAATTATGTTCATTGTGGAGAAAGCTGCCTCGCAGTTGTATGTGGAGCCAAACATGGTCAAGATGTATAGGGCTACTTTCCTCAGACCCGGGAAAGCAGTCTCAGGGACCATTTGGAACCAGAAAGTGGAAGGGTCAGTTCTTACAAACTGCTCTTTCAGGGCCACATCTGCTTGGAGATCAACCAATTGCATCTGGAGAGACCCAGCATTTACCCATTTAAAGTGCTGTGTGACTTCCTTTGAGAACCCCCTGACATCTGTGATCAGAAATGGGTTCTGAATGAACATGGTGAGCTGCTCTCCAAAGCTGAAGCTGTCAAAACGGTTGCTGAAGTTTACAATCAGCTTATCAATAAAATCAACAAAAGAAGACAAATCTCTCTGTCCCTGAACCTGTTCCTGCACTGCTGGGAAGTGTACACAGTCTCCCTGCAGGTCTTCCTTGAACACTTCAAGTTTCCTCTGAAAGGAGCGAACAGCTGTCATCAGTTCACAAATTGAATTGTCCTTGCCCTGTAGCCTCAAATTCAGTTCATTCAGATGTGACGTGATGTCAACCAAAAAGGCCACATTATCCATCCATTTCTCATTTTCTAAAAAGAGAGAACTGTGTTGCCTTCTGACTGCTTAGCTCTGCCAAAAAAGATGCTAATTCCCTCCTGATGGACCAAAAGCGCTCTAGCACCCTGCCTTTGCTGAGCCATCTCACATTGTTGTGCAGCAAAAGATCATCAGCATTGGCATCAACTTCTCTGAGGAATTCCCTAAGCATGCGATGCTGGTAGGAAGAGGATGCCCTGAGAAAATTTATCATTTTCATCATTGTATTCATCACCTCAGCATGCTCATCTGACAGGGAGACACAGAGGACAGATTGATGAATGATGCAATGGTAAGATAAAAGCTCAGGATTGTCCCCTTTCAGTCTTGCTACAGCTCCTTTTTCTTTCCCTATCATAGAAGGGGCTCCATCTGTGGTTATTGAAACCACTTGTTTTGGCTCTATTCCTCTTTTTGTTAACATCTCCTTAATGGCCAGGTAGATATCCTCTCCTCTTGTACTGGTCTGAAGGGGAGTGACACCTAACATGTCTTCACAGAATGTTTTCTGGGCTGTGTTGAAAAACCTGGC